GGGAATCTCGATACCAAGATCTCCTCGTGCGACCATGATTCCGTCTGACTCCTTCAGAATTTCGTCAAAGTTGAGCACCCCCTGATGGTTCTCCACTTTAGAGATGATCTTGATGTGAGCGCCCTTCTCTCCCAAAATTTCCCTGATGGTGCGCACGTCCGATCCGCGTCGGATGAAGGAAGCGAAGATCATGTCCAGATCGTTTTCGACAGCAAATGTAATGTCCTGCCTGTCCTTTTCGGAAATGGCGGGAAGGTCCACTTCCGTCAGAGGAAGATTGACACCCTTCTTGTTTGACAGAACGCCGTTGTTGACTGCACGAACGCGGACCAGCAAGTCCGACTCGATATTGATAACCTCGAGAGCTAGGATGCCGTCGTCAATGAAAATCTGCCTGCCAACCTCGACCTTCTTGGCCAAGTTCTTGTAATCGATGTAGAGGTAGTCTGCGCTTCCTTTTTCCGCGTACGCATCATCCATGGTCACGTAGAATTCGTGACCTTGCGAGATCTTGACATCCTCTCCATTCACCATCATACCCGTGCGCATTTCTGGCCCTTTCTGTTAGGGTCAAGGCAGGGACGCATGCAACGAGTCAGCTATGATGCAAAAGCGCCCATAAAGGTCGGCATGTGCCACTCACTGTGTCCAGAGCGATTGCGAGGGGTCGTCCAACCGCCGCTGCAAAGACCGAGCATCTTGCGTTAGCCTCAAGAGGCAGCGTATGATCGCTCACAAGGCAGCTCACCAGATTGCGCAGAGCGAGCATTGTCCACCACGGACTTGAAGTACTCGTGCGATCCGTGCGATGCATTCAGTCGCACTGGGACGAATCAGAGGATCGTCAGCTGGCCCAATCAGACCGACAGCTGCTGTCACGGGCCAGGCTTCGCGCCTCAGCTCTCGACACACTCACCAATATTCATACCAGCCTTGCGCAGGGCACCCAGAAGCTCTACATTGTTGGTCTTGGGGCCGATTGTGGCAATGATTGAGCTGCAGGACAAGCTCGAGAGGTCAGCTACCGGAGCGCGGACTGCGCGCTTTCTTGGCGCCAATGTACCACAACGCACGTCTTGCGAAAGAATTTGTTGGAGCTGGAGATGGCGTGCTCAAGAGGGTTGAGACTTGCGAGCCATTCGAGCTGATGGAGCAAATGCGATGGTAGGACAAGCGTGAGCGCTGATTAGGAAGAGCACGGCTCACCCAGCACGAGCACGCATGAAAGGTTTGGACAGCAATCCTCACCTGCGACTTGGCAATGGGCTGATACAGCATGACGTCTGCTTGCTTTCTCCTTGAATGTCTTCGGGAAGTGAGCGGGCCGAGAACAAGCCGTTAATGGAATGGAGCGAGCGCTGCGAAGAGTCGATGAAGCGTGAGCGCGCTCAGGAGTTGGCCGGCAAAAAGCGGTGTAGAAGAGACGACAGGTGATGGGGCGGGCGCGATTGACGAAAGGACTGGTGATGGAAGAAGGGAGTACGACGGATGACGCGAAGTATTTCGGCTGCGTGTGCGACCGAGTCTCGATCGAGCTGCTG